GTCGACGGGTGCTTGTCGCGTAATTGAATAACCGGCGATTGGGGACAATCTTGCCTGACTCACTGTAAACTCAACTGGTTCTTCTCCATAGGTACGGACGCGTACCCAGGTTCCTGAATAGTTCGGCTTTCGAAATCTGATGAAATTTTCGGGCATCCCGTTGGACCGCAATATGCACCACGAAGATTCTCTATCGACAGAGTCAAAGGCAGCGCGGAAGTCAATGTAACCTGCCGTGTTAGGCTGTTGGAACTTGAAGCGGTGTCCCAGAATTCTACGAAAAGTGAAGATTTGTTCAAGACAGCCCCTTCCGCGGCGAAAACCCCCCTGGTTCGGGCGAGTTCTGGTATCTTTACGACTGCCAAGCGATTAAGCAGTATCACTGCAAACAATTTTGCCACAATATCAGTGAGGCTAATACTCCAGTAATTTTTGCATCTAGATTTGTCACCTTATTTTTGGAACCAAGGATTAAATTGAAGCTGTCCAATCTTTTGAAAAACTTTCCCAAATGGTGCGGAAAAAAGAGTACAGCGGATCGATCAGAGTTGGTAAACAAGCTTTGAATAACTGGTGGTATCCCGTCTTCTTCAAAAGCCTTTCTGGTTTTCAGAGCAGTGACTATCGTACTAATTGGGTCACAATTGATGTCATAAGTTTCCGAACTGCTTGACACATGTGGAGAACCGGGTTGGTTTGATGGACGGTTAAGCACCCCTTCTGAGTGTTCAACCCACTTTTGCGTTTTTGCTCAGTTGCCTGAATAAGTTGGCCTGTGGTGCTGCGCAACAGTGGTTCCGATGTCTGCCTCTTTCCTACTGCGACGCGGATTAGACGGAATAGCTTTCCAAAGTCTGCTGTAACAGTTGCAACCTGTATGCTGTCGGCAATCTCATTCGAGTATTGTTTGCAGTCCTTTTTGGCGGAGCATGTGGTTTGGCGACGGAAAATACGAAATTCAGGAGGATTGATCTACCGTGCATCTCTTGCCTTTGCGGCGAAGAACCTTACCTAACTGCCCCAGCGCCGCTTCTCTGAGAGACGTTTTCAGCTTGGACCACTGTGCGTCGACAGTTGAGTCATCGAAGAAGGTTGCGGCTGTGTTGGAAGCGGTCGCGTCCAGCAGGGCCTGCCTTCTCGTTCCAAGAGCGCGACGTTGAATTTGTCCGGGCTATGAGTCTTGTGGCGAGCAGTTAGGTGGATCTTGAAGCGGGCGCGTACAAGAGTATGGTCTGTGCCGTTCCAGTTTCTGTCGCGATATGAACGACAGTCTTCCACCGAAGAGGCCCAGCAAACACGTACCCAAATATAGTCAATCTGGTGTGCCGTTCAACCATCGTTTGAGTACCATGTTAATAGGTGTTGACCACGGCCAGCTGGTTGAAGTCATCAAATGTGACCAGAAGTTAGCCATGCTAGCAACGTTTACCACGGCCGAACCTCCTCAAAACATGCCGAGTATGTTCGTTTGATAGACCAGTGCGTGCATTCCAGTCTTCTGTCATATAGAGAATATCGCACCCCCCAATTGCGGTTCACTGCGTCTTGAACTTGATAGAAGTGATATTTGATGGCCGCTTTCGCATGTAACGTTGGAGCACAGACAGTTATGACAGTCAGATTAAGCGGCTCACCCCTAAATCGCCCTACGTCAGTCTAACCAAAGGCTGATAGTTAAGCGGAGAATTCAGGTCAATTAAGCTCTTACCACAGCCGTTTTGTTCTCATCTGTTGTTCTTTCTACTTCGGATTATTCACGGTATTGTGTGACGCTACCACTTGGAGAACTGATTCCCAGACTGAAGCAGAGTTATGAACCGTAGAGGTATAACTCACGTGTAATAAATGTGTCACTCAATTCAGGGTAGGAAGTTAGCAAGTGTTATTCCACATGACCTTTTTGGTCGAGGTTTGACTTCTATTGGCACCTCTGATCATACAACACTGGCACTATCTCCCATGATCTACAGTAGATCCAATCATCAGTCCTGCATTCGGCATCGTAATCATCGTAAATGTCAACCCGAAAAACTTTATCATCATCATCATACAGCTGAATGCAGGGACGCGAACTTCACTGATCGAGAACGATTAAGATTCTCAGCCAAAGCCTTTAGTTCTGACAAGAACCCA